GGTGGATGGACATAAATGTCAGTGAAAATTCAGTGTGGTCATTGCTGGTGAGGCTCATGCTGGGCAGCAGCCAGGAGTTGGTGTCTGTCTCTTCCTGAGGCAGCCCTGGGTTTTGAAGGATGACTCAGAGTTCCTGGAACCCTGCAGGTAGAGAGAGGAGCATGAGGAGGCACAAGGGTTGGGGGAAGGGTTCCTGAAATGCCTTGGGTGGATGGGGGTAAAAAAAACCCTTGAAATCTTCATTATCCATTATCTGCACAGCTCTCTGGTTATTAGGCCCTCCTGCCCAGGTGTGTCATTTGATGCAAAAGGAGGGCCCTGCTCAGCCCCCAGACTACCAGGAACACCACTGAGGGCACTGGAGGCACTTTATAGATAGGAGGACCATTGCTGTGCTACCTGTCAGTCCTGCCAGTGAGAAAGAGGGGACAAGGACAGATAGAAGATGCACCCCCGTGGTCAGATAGCTCTGACTCGTCCTTCAGCAGGTACTTACTGAGCCGCTCTGTCTGCCTTGGGGTATGGTAATGAGCAAAACAGAGATGTGTTATGGAGACACTTCCATTCCACTGGGGGTGCAACCTTTTTGGCTCTCTGAGCAGGAATGGAACCCTGTGCACCCGTGTGTCCTCAGAGACCCGCCTGGAACCTGATAGGAAACATTGCTCAATCACTGTTGAAATAACCTACTGCTTAAGCAATTCAGAAGTGCCAGGTGGTAAGAAAGAACCTGGAAAAAGCCAAACAGTTTCTTTGCTCTGAGAGATCTATTGTGTTGACTTGTTCTGTAATTGATTTTTAGTTATAAAATTTTCAGCCAGGGGAGGAATTGAATTTACTCTGGCAGAGCTACCTTTTCCATATCACCCAGGGATTCTATGTCTGTTAAGAAAAGTCTTTTATTCACAGCACAACTTTGAGTTTGCATGAAAATGGCAGGTATTGTTGAATTTAAGTGTATTGCTGGCCTGGGTCAAACATTGAAGTCAGCAGATAATTTAGAGGGAACTGCTAAAGGGAATGGTTGTCTTTTCTCACCCTAGTCTCAAGAAACAAAGGAGAAAACAAAAGAAAAATGTGTTCATCTTGGCTTTGAACAAGCTGAAGAGTCCTCAAGGCCCCAGTTTCTCCTGGCCTTGGTTTTCCATTGCAGTTTTGATGTTGGAGCTCTGGCTTCCTCCTGAATACCTTTCTCCCACAATTTGATAGTGCAGAGGACAGGAGATAATATTAAAGAGCTGAGACTATTCAGAGTCATAAAACACAACAGGGCAAAACTGGGTGCAGCTACCAGCTTGCAGTAAGAATGTGAACTTTGGAATCCAACCTTGGAAAATGCTGCTGCAGGGCCTGGCATAGGACTGAAGCCTATTGCAAGCATGGAGGGTCAAGAGGGAGGGTCATATGCTGCAGAGTCAGTACCCTTCCAGGGTGTCCTGATGGCCTATGAGGGCCAGCACTGACCCTCAGGAAGTCATGCTTTTGGCGTGATCTGTGGGCCAGCAAGAAAACCCTGGAAGGAGGAGATTCAGAAGGAAGATGAAGCCAGAAAAAGGAGGGGAGAAGAAAAAATGAAGTTAGGTCAAGGGTGAAACAAGAGGTGTCCCCAGGGAAAGTGGTAGATTTTCTATCCCAAGGGAAAACAAGGGTTTGACCAGGAACAAGGCCGAGGGACACTGTGCTCTCTCTACAGGCTGGGCCCAGTGCTGATGTTGGTGATGTCTTTGGAGTGGAAACTGGGCGAGCCCGCCCGTCTGGCTGAACCACAGCAGGCACTCAAGGGACTTGCAGCCCCTCCCTCCTTGGTATTAGCCAAGGTGTTTGGAACTGTCCACCTGGAGGGAAGCATACCCAGCTCAGGAACCTTGCCAGAGCAAAGTGCAGACAATGAGCCCTGGGCTCTGACAGCATGCCCAAGTGCCTGCCTGCTGCTGGAATGCTGGCAAGCACATTCCTTCTGAGAATAGTTCACCACAGTGAATTCTGACCTCATTGCACCACCCCGGTCAAGGGTGTCGAAATGGAATAAATGTTCTCATGTCGAGGGTCTGTGGAAACCCTCAAAACCAGGGGAATTCCTTGGCTCCCCATCTTCATTTCAGAGTGGAAAGTTCAAGCGATAGTTCATTCTAGATGTTTAATGGATCTCAGCATTTAAGGACAAATTAATAGGTTAGAGATGTGGAGTCAATCATGTGGATTTGATTTCCCTTAAATTGGGTGATTTTGTAGGATTTAGAATGTAATTATTGCAGGCTCATTTCTTTCTTTTTTTCTTTGTTTCTATCATGATTATCTAACTTAAATTTTTAAAAAATTTTCTATTCCCAATGGCAACAGAAATGATTGAGTAACCTTATATGATTTTTAAAAAATATTTGAAGGGATCGGGCATGTAGCTTAGTGGCAGAGTGCTTGCCTAGCATGTGTGAGGCCCTGGGTTCAATCCCCAGCACTGACGGGGATGGGAGACTATCAAAATGTTTAAATGGTATGTAAGGATTTGCTGAGAATTTTATGCTTTTATGCCACATATTTGTGGCCTTTTCTAATATATAAGGTGTTCCATTTTCTTCCTGCAGCCCTGCCTCTCCCCAGGTGGTGATCATCCTCAGGGTTGTCCTCCTAGGGTGCCACATCATTTGAATGGGCCACAGCCTCAGGCCTTCTCCACTTTCTGGGGCTTGTTTGTTGTAGCAGGACATCCCAGCTTGGGGAAGAATTTGATTCTGAATCCTAAATTCTCTCTAGGAATAAGCTGGAAAGAGTTTGAGAAAAGATTGCATTTGCTTCAAGGCTTCCTTAAGAATCCGCACCCAGTTGTTGGCTTTGCATCATCCTAGGCAGCACCTGCAGGTGTGGAGCCTTCCTTGGTTCGTCCACCAGAGGGCCTCCGTCCTGCATGGGAAAAACCATCCTGAGCTTTAAAGGGGGTTGAATTTCTCTGTTCATCATTTATCTCCCTTAGGCTGCCCAGGGGATTACTGTCAGGCACCCGTTTCAATGGATTGTCTTTCGAATTTTGAGCCAGTACCTAGGAGTATCTAGTGAGTTGTTGTCACTGGTATTCATAGAATTCATTATATATATATATATATATAAATTTGCACACTAGTGGATCAGAATAAAAACCTGGGCGCTCTGGTTCACACTTGCTCTGTCCTGAAGAGTCACATTTCTGGCATTGAGCTTAAGTTTCTTTTACCAGGAAGGTAACAGAGTATGGTGGAAGCTCCCAGCATGCGCTCTCACCAGCCGCTGAACCTGAGCATCCCCTTTCTCTTCTGTGCAAGTTAGACTGCGTTGGGTCGTTTAGAGCTAGAAGATTCTGTGCTCCTGTAGCTGTACAAATGGCTTATTCTGCAGGGAGGGCATAGGAGACGTTCCGAATGGCCAAGTCCATGAGCAGCCTTCCCTGTGTTCTAGTGTCCAGCTTATCTCCTGTTCATTCAAGGCCTAATTTCCACCCTGCTAATGCAGTGCTTTACCAGGGTCTTTAGTGATGCTGCCCCAGGCACATCCTACCTTTCAAAGCGCTGCTCCTTCTATACAGTGTGATCCGTGGTTCTGGAATGAAGTTAGATTTCCAGAGCCTCACCCGTCCTCCTTAGCTATGGCTCTTTCCTCCCCGCTGTGTTACTTAAGAGAACCAAGCTCAAGTCCAAAGCAAATGTACGTTGTTGACTGTGAACACAGATCCCATAAAAACAAATGAAGGGGAAAGCAGAGTAGATTGTGCGTCCCAGGGCCTGTTGCCTAATTTTTATTCATGTCCCTGTTAGATTTCCTTATTGCTGCTTAGAGTCCTAAGCACAGCCTTTTCTTTTTATGCCACCATAAAGCTTCTGATCGGATATCATCTGATATGCGTGGGTGAGAGGACTCTGGGAGTGTTTATGTACCTATGCCAGTAAGCCATTATCTTCAAGTTCTGGGCTGTTCTTGTGAATGAGAACCCTGGGAAGTCATGTAGGTATAAGATATGAATTAATAACCCTCATGAGTGCTTGTAACTTACAGACCACATTTTGATTTAATACCTCTGCATGATTTAAAATGTCATCTGAGAAGAGAGCCAAATACTTAGGCATCTGCCACAGCCAGCAGAGGCTGGCTGACAGGTCTGCACCGGCTGACCCGTTCTCTGACTCTTTGGAAAGATGAGATATGTTCTAATGAGCAGGTTATAAATATCACTGAGTTATGTCATAGGAGTGGCGGCACTCAATGTAAAGGGAGCAGCTGGGAAGTGTTCCCAGCTACACAGACCAGGCTCAGCTTGCAGGGAGGACAAGTGGGGCCTGGACTTACCGACCAGGATGTTACTAAAGAATGATTTGTCTCTGAATGAAATGTGTCACCAAATGCATCTGTGAGGGCGTAGGGGGGCAGTGAGACGAGACATGTCTAATGGCAGGAAGGTGCAGTCGACACACACTCGTTCTCAGAAGCAGCCTTCGACCCTTGGCATCTTTTTGTCGGTGGATTGGGCAAGTGGGTTTGATGGGTTTTCTAGGCAGTTACTACGTTCTGGAAAGTCAGCATGGTTGCTTGGGGGAGCCCCCCAGTTTTCATCTCTTTGCCCACATTGCACACAGCAGCTTGCTGGTGCTCCTACCCCTGGGCCCAGCGTTGCCACCTGCCCTTCCAATGGAAGTACAGAGTTCAGCACCACTCTGTCAAAGCCACTGGAAATTTGAAGATAGACCCTTATAAGATATCTTGCTGTGTTTTGTTTGTTTGCTTTTGTTGGCCTCAGAACTGATTTTCAGATTTTTCTTGAGGAAATTTGATTGGGGTTAGGAAGCACAAAAGACCATCAATCTCAGGTCAGACTTTTCAGAGTTGGCCAACGATGAATAGACACATGCAGAATAATTGTTTCCTTAAAATCTAGCCAACAGCTTTCATGTAGACAAAATGCATCAAAATATGTATATAAAATATTTAATACTAAGCCATGCCAGATGGAAATCCTGTCAAATTCTGTGTGCATGCAGGAACTTGACAAGAGGAGTCGGGAGATTTAGAGAGCTTCTCAGAGCGGTGGAAACGAGAACAACACAAAACCTGCGAATGGTAAGTGTGACTAATGACTTGGCTGGGGACAGTCACTAGGGCCCTCGTCTCACAGATATGTTCACTTTTACACATTGTTACATATCATGTATATGTATATACATATATATAGCAATTCACTTATTTAAAGTATACATTTTGATGGTTTTTAGTGTATTCACAGACTTGTTCAACTGTCACTAATATTTAATTTCAAATTGCTCCCAAAGGAAACTTATGCTTGGCTGGATGTGGTGGTACACACAGTAGTTGTAGCTAGTCAGATGAGAAGGCTCACAAGTTCTAGGCCAGCCCGGGAAACTTAGCAAGACCCTATCTCAAAATCAAATGTGGAAGGGGCTGGGGATGTAGCTCAGTGGCAGAGCACCCCTGAGTCTAATTCCCGGTACCAAAGAGAAAAAAAACGAAAAAGAAAAGAAGGAAGCATATACTCATTAGAACTCAGTTCCTACTCTCCCCTTCCATGAGACTTGACAACTGTTTATTTACTTTCCATTTCTATGAATTGGCCTACTTTGGACATTTCATACAATTGGAATTATATAATATTTGGTCTTTTGTGATTGGCTCCCTTTATTTAGCATAATATGTTCAGAGTTCTTCCATGTTGCAGCTTTTATTAGTATTTCTTGTTATTGCTATGTAATATTCTGTGGTATGGACTGACCACGTTTTATGTACCCAGGCATCAGTTGGTAGACATTGTGAATAATGCTACTGTGAATGTTTATGTCCATGTTTTCAAGGGGACATGTGTGCCCTCTTTCCTTGGGCATATGCCCGGAAGCATTACTGGGTCACGTGGTAACTGGGTGTGCGACTGTTAAGGGTCCCCCAGACTGTTTCCCACTATTTTACATTTCTGCCAGCAGTTATGAGGGTTCCAGTTTCTGCATGTCCTCCCCTTCCCTTGTTACTGTCTTTTCAGTTGTGGCCATCTTAGTGAGTGTGTGGTGCTCTCTCCCTGGGGTTTTGACTTATGTGTCCCTGATGGCCACTGATGTGGAGCATCTTTCTTGTGCCTGCTGGCAGTCCTCTCCAGTTGTAAGAGCTGCATCCTGTGAAGCATGGGACGCAGGCCTCCTGGAGGTTATTGTGGGGTGGGGTTGGCTGTACGCTTATGATTCCACCAAACCCAGACAGAACCATGCAATTTGGATCCCAAGGGTTGCTTAGCTAATTATGTTGACCACAAAACTTAGAAGAGAAATATAAAAGGTATTTAAATATCTGCAGCTTGGCTTGATCAGCAGCTTGACTTTCCTGTTGACTTGAATTCTGTGTTTCCTCCTGAGGAGGTTCATTAATTATGCCTCTGTGGCTTGCCCCATGGAGCTATAGTTCTTGAGTGTCTGAGCAAAGTCCTGGTGCTCACTAGAAGCTAAGTGAATGCCACATGTTACAATTAATGTAGCAGTTTCTTTTGTCTTTTGTCATCATGTTATTGTCCTATGAATTCATTAAATGTTGTGGGGAGTGTTCAGTTGGGCAAGGCTGAGAGAGTCATGTCACAGGAAATAAAGCTTTATTCAGGCCCGCCGGGGTTTTAGGATGTGGACATACTGGTGGGGTCAGGTGGCTAAGCTGGAGGCTTTAATCAGGGGGTTGAGATAAGATGAGCAACCTTGCATGCATGTGTGTGTGCGCGCGCACACACACACACACATATCATATCCCCCTCCCAAGAACTCACTTGGTCTTTGGGATTTATATATCAGTGTACTTGATATATGCCTTAAATTCAGATGAAGAAGTTTGAGATCTGGGTTTCTTTAAAGCAAAAGAAGCAGCAAGAACATGAATAAAAATTTTTTCCAGATTATATTTTTTCTCAAATCGACCTTCTCCCAGCACTCCACAAAACTCTTCAGCCCATCAGTATGAAAATCTTCTTCCAAAATCTCAAAGCACAATGAAAGTAACTGATTAAAATGGCAAGTGTTTTCATAATTACTTTAAAAGCACGTTGAAAAATCCAGTCTTTCAAAATTGCTTAAATATGGAGCATTTGTTCATATTGTTGACTTTCAAATATATATAATTTATGGAATGAGCTGTTTTTCTCCATTTAAAAGTGCAAGTATCCTGAATTCTCTGTGGGAACCTGTCTGCTGTTCAGTGAATTAGAGAATATATTCTACTACTAAGATTTATGATTTTCAAATCAAAGTATTTTCACTTCTAAAAATCCTGTGAAGGGTGGGGATGTGGCTCAGGAATAGAGCACTTGCCTGACATGTGTGAGACCTGATATGACCCCCAGCACCACAGAAACTGAACAAAAATTCTGTAAGCTCGGGTCCTGAGTAGACATGGTCGGAGCGTGGTGGTGAGGGGTCCTTTCCATTTTTGTTTTTCTGAGAAGGCAAGGAAGAGACCCTGAAGAGCTTGTGGTGGCCTAGGCTGCCTCTGGACATTGCAGCTTCTAGCTAGCTGTGCTGGCATGAGGGGAGGTGCTTCTTCTTCGTGTCACGCTGAAGTGCCTGTGCACATTTGGTCTCAGTTGAAGATCTTCACATGACCTAAGTTTAAAACTGTTTTCAGTTCCGTGAGTGCTTGACCAAAGTCGTGCATCAGGATTATTGGGGAAACTTTGGGTTTTCTTGCTTGTTTGTTTTGCAGTGCGGGGTATGGAACCCAGGACCTCACACATGGTAGGCAAGGCGCTTTACCACCAAGCCACAACCCCAGCCCTACTGAGGAACTTCGAACAAGTACATGTCCCCAAACCATGACCACAGAAATTCCAGAGGACTGAGTCTAGGGCAGAGCCTGAGAATCTGTGTTATCTGAAGTTTCCACAAGCAGGCCTCACTCACCCTAGTAGAGAAGCACCCCAGGCCTTGTTTACACTGAACATCAGAAAACTTCTCCAGCTAGTGCTATTCATAAGACAGGTTCTATCAGCCTTAACTAATAACTCTTTTGATTCTTTTTAGATTATCTGGCTGCAAATTTATGATATTCTTATGAGATGGAAAAGTTGTTTTGTAAACTCAATTTGGTGTGAGACCATGACAAAGAGGGATTTAAGATTACATTTACAGCAACTCTACGCCTAGGTATATATGCCCAAGAATTGAAAACAGGCACAAACTGGACAAGAACGTTCATATTGACACTATTCTAACAGCCCAAAGGTGGAAACCTGTCTATCAGCTAGAGAATGGATACGCCAGATGTGCTACAGGTAGACAATGGAGTGCCACTCAGCCACGGAGAGGGCTGAAGTGCTGGTCCACACACAGCCGAGATGAGTCTTAAAAACATTACACTGCGTGAAGGAAGCTGGTCACAGAAAGATCCATGTTGTGCAGTTCCACTGCCGTGCAACAGTCTAAGTAGGCCAGTCCTTGGAAACAGAGAGCATATCAGTTGTCCCCATGGCCTAGGAGGAAGAGAGGGTGAGGAATGATTGCTTAAATGGTGTAAGGTTTCCCTTGGGGGTGATGAAAATGTTCTGGAACTAGATAGCGGTGGTGGTTGCACAATATTGTGAATGTACTAAGTGCTGTTGGGTTGGACACTTCAAGATGGCCTCAGCGTGGACCAGCACCCCCCTTCCAAAGTTAAATGTTTAGAATCCCAATTTAGCGAATGAAGTTTTCATTTTTAAATTTTTAACATTTATTTCTTAGTGATAATGAATGGAGGTATTTCTGTCGGTAGAATTTTCCAGCAAAAGTCATTAGATTATATGACTGCAATGAGATCAAAATGAAACTATAATGGAAGGTTTTAAAAAACAGCTCAGGAGCTGTTTAGTTCCTGAAAATTGTGTTCTTATGAGGTCTTTACAGATGGCTCAGTTGGGGATGATCAGAGTGCATTTAATTTCACATTTTTATAGCCATTTAAAGGCAGTGGGTTTTACTTGGGAATAATCAAGAAAATTTGCCTTTACCCAGTGGTTATCAGAAACCACTAAGCTAGTGATTTGGCTGTACTTAAGTTTCCTTGGGGAATTTTTAGAGATTTCACATGGATGAGAGCCTAGCAAAGTTCTCTTCCAGAACATATTTCTTTAAAAAGGCTCATTTTCAGGGAAGATCAGCTTCTTTGTCTGTATCTTCCAAAGAATATTGAAACCAAGCAGAGAACCCTGCTGGCTAAAGTTTTGCTGTACCATCTCTGGCTGCTTATGGGTGGCCTGGACTACCCTGGGATGCGGTGCTTCTGTTTTCAAAAGGATTTTTTAAAAACATCTTTGTCATTTGGAAGATTATGAGCTAAATGAACTGATCTACATCAGTCAACAAAGTACTTCTAGGTACACACCACCTGGCACCTTCCCATCAACCACCGTGGTGCTATTCTAGGCAGTGGGGTTCCAGAGGGTCTGGAAGCTGTCAACCTGCACCAGCTTAGGAAGGCAACATCCGGATGCCCCTGGGTTTTAACAGTAGAGAGAGATGCCGTCCAGCTTTGAAGAAGGTCTTTCTTGATAGAAGCCACACAGCCCTCACTTTTCTTCTCTACAGCACAGGCTAGTGGGAGCTCTGGGCCATGAGGCCCAGGACGCACTGAGAAGAGGACTCCCGGGTGCTGGGTCCTGGGGTGGGGCTGCACAAGGCTGGCCCTCACCCTTATGAGAAGCAAGGCACTCTGGAATCACACAGTGCACGTCCCATGGTCAACAAGAGATGTTTTTCAGGGACAGCATCATCTAAAATGGGTCTGACTTTTTGCCAGCTGGAGCTTTGAGGGCATCTGCTGGAAGGGGGTGAAAATCCCTGCAGTTCACCTGTTATTTACAGGAGCTCTTGGGAAAGGGCGTCGCTGAAAGCTGGGTTGTTTCAGATATAGAATGTGCTTAGTGTTCCAGGGTGTGACATACCAGGGTGGCCGCGCAAGTGCATGAGCCATCTTCAAAAAGTTTTCAAATATCATAATGTGTCATGTTTTCTTTTCTTTTTGCCATAAACTGATATCATTTTCATCATGGAAGTAAAAAATCTTTAGTTATGAGTCTTGGAATAGTGCCTAGCACAAAGTGGTGCCTGATGAATATTCAGTGAGAGAACAGACTCATGGCTGCCTCTTCCCTCCTTGTGTTCCCAGACCATAGCCAGGCAGCTGGCGGAGATCTTGTTGCGGGGTATGTGTGAGCAGAGCTACTGGAACCCCCTGGAGGACCCTCCGTGCCAGTCACCCCTGGACGATCCTCTCCGGAAAGGAGCAAACACCAAGACCTACACCCTCACTCGCCGGGCTCGTGTCTACTCAGGAGAGAAGTACGCAAGCCTATGTCCTCCGCTAGGGGCTGGGGCAAAGGAGATGGGCAGTCCAAGGGCGAGTGGAAGTCCAAGGGCAAGCTGTTGTCCCCTAAAAGAAAAGCCGATGAGCAAGGCCATTCAACAGTTTAATAGCAGCCCTTGTCACTGCTCAGAGCTTGAGCAGACCCCTTACCACCAGGACAGGTCAGGAGGAAGCCTGCTCTCCTTTCCACACCTGGCTGCTGCCACGGCTCTGGGTCTTTGGGCTGTGACTTCCTGTCCTTGGAGCCCAGCACTGCACAGCTGTCTGTAGTCCAGAACTGACATTTCCCTTCTTTTCTTCAGCAGTCCTTGGCCCTTTTGTTTAAATGTTGTCCTAAGCTGAATCCGATGTAAGGACAGCTGAGTGATTTGCTAGTGACCGGAAGGTGATGTCTCTTTAGAACCTCTGTTTTTTTTTTGTGTGTGTGTGCGTGTGTGTGTGTGTGTTTCCAGTTTAAATTCAGGACTTCATCCCCTTGGAGGAGAGTGGGTCAGGGATTCCTTGCCAGGTTGGGGCAGGAGGGCAGAGAAGGCAGAGACCACAAGAAGGGCGGGGAGACAAGTAATCGCCATTCTTTGCTCGTGCCTCCTGTGAGAGCCTTTAATGCCCTCCGTACAGGGCGAGGCAAGGTGGCCTTTTGGGTCTTGTGTGAGTGAACTGCAGAACCTCTTTGGCGTTCCCAGGCCAGGAGTGGCTGAGAGCCTTCCTGAGCTGCTGCTGAGCTCACTCCAGTGACACCTGGAAGTGACAGGGCTTCCCAAGGGAATAGCACTCCTCTAGGCCACTGCTCCTCATCCTCTTCAGTTGACCCTGGCATACCTCTCCCTCGTCACCTTTGCCTTTGCCTCCGGCTTTTGTTTGTGTGGGTGCTGGTGCAGGAGCTTCCCCAGGCCTTGCTCTCCTTCCCATCCCCGCCCCACCCCAGCCTGTTGAGCGAGGAGTAGGCCCAATCCACAGCCCGTGTTTACTCCTCAGTCCTTCTCTGGATCCACAGAACATCTGTTCTAGCGCTTCCCAAACTCTCACGCAAAAAAAGCTGATCCCCATGATGAGCTGTTGAGAAACAGATTTGAGATTCATATTTTAAGTGCTGTTTATATCTTCAAAACAGATCCTGGTTTATTTTACTGCTCAGGATGCTTCTTATTAGCCGGTGTACCAGGTTTCTATCCTCTCCCCACCAGGCCTGGCACCAGTGGGAGCTCTGTTCCCATGTGGCCTCCCTCAGAGGCAAGGAGGCTCTGCCACCCTGTAGTTCTTGAGCCACTCAGACATTGCCACTCTTTAACACCACGCCCACGTCAGCTTACACCTGTGTAAAGGAACCTGGGGGCGAAACACAGATTTAGAAACTGCAGTCTCTGAAGGGATCTCACCGTTCTTTAGATTCCTTAGGATTTCTGTATAAGCTACAGTGTCATCTGCAGATACAGGTTACTTCTCCCTTTCTAACCTGGATGCTCTGTATTCCATACCTGCCCCCGCCCTCGAAATTGTCTGGCTAGAACCTTCGGTGCAATGTTGAGAAGAAGTGGCAACAGCAGACACTATCTGTTTCCTGATCTTGGAGGGAAAAGCATCCAGTCCTCCACCTTTACTTATGGTGTTCACCGGCTCTTGTAAACACCCTTCATCAGGTTAAGAATGGTCCCTCCCATTCCTAGTTTGCTGTGTATTTTTATCATGGAACTGTCCCCACAGTTTGACAAATGCTTTTTCTGCACCTATTCAGCTTATTCTATAGTTTTTGTCCTTGATTCTATTAATGCAGTACATGCCTTTAATTGATTCTGATGTATTGAGCCAACCTTGAATTTCTGGGGTGAGTCCCACTCTATCATGGTGTATAATATGTTTCTTATTTGTTGCTGGGGTCTATTGGCTAGTATTTTATTCAAATTTTTTATGTCTATATTCATAAAAGATATTGTTCTGCAGTTTTCTTATGATACCTTTGTCTGCTTTTGGTATCAGAATAATACTAGCCTCATGAAACAAGTTGGACAGTATTTGTATTTCTTTACCCTCTTTTTTTTTTTTTTTTAAGTTTTTGGTGAATTGGTATTAATTGTCCTTTAAATGGTTGGTAAAATTTATCAGTAAAGCCATCTGGTCCTAGACTGTTCTTCACAGGAAGTTTCTGGATACTAATTCATGTCTTTTTGTTCATATTCTCTGTTTCTTCCTGGTTCAGTTTTGGTAGTTTGTGTCTTTCTAGAAATGTTTCTGTTTAAGTTATCTAACTTGCTAACACAGGTCTTCAGAGTGGTCTTACTATTTTTTTTTTCTGCAAGGTTCACTGTCATGTCCTTTCTCTTTTCGTTTTGGTAATTTGGGTCTTTCCGCTCTCTGATGGGGTCAGTGTAGTTAAAAGTGTGTTGATTCGTTGACCTTGTTGAAGACCCACCTTGTTGGTTTTGTTCGCTGTCTCTAATGTGGGTCTCTTCCCTTTGTCATTAATTTCCACACTAATCCTTAGGCCCTCAGGTTTGGACTTTTCTAATTTTGTGTGCTCACAGCCTACTTTTTATTTGGAATATTAGTAAGGAGGGAAATCCAGTTGGGTGATACTTGTTTTGAGCTCCCTTGTTACCAAGGCAGCACCATCTAAGGACACCACCACCAGCTCAGTTATGCTGACTGGGAGGTGAAGAGGGAATCCGTGGATAATGTTCAGACTTTATTTTGGCCAGTAGCCCCAAACCCTCCTGTTTTAGTCAGCTTTTTCACTGGTGCCACTAAAAGACCCGACCAGAACAATTGTAGAGGAGGAAAGGTTTATTTTAGGGCTCACAGTTTAGAGGTCTTAGTCCATAGAAGGCCAGCTCCATTCCTCAGGGCTTGTTGCACATCATGGTGGGAGAGTGTGGCAGAGGGAAGCAGCTCACATGGTGATCAGAAAGCAGAGAGAGACTCTACTCTCCAAATACAAAACATATACCCCACAGCCATGCCACCACTGAACCACGTCCTCCAGCCACACCCCACCCACCTTCAGGTACCACTCAGTTAATCCCGTGGCTGATTAGTTTCAGGCTGTGACCTGCTCATTTCTCCTCTAAACCTTCTTGCACTGTCTCACACGTGAGCTCTTGGGGACACCACATTTAAACCATAACGCCTCCCCTTCCACTCAGTCTCTCATAAGAAATGTAAGTACAAAGCAGAATTTAGGTGGCACAGATCCTTCCAGCCCGGGAAACCACAGGACCATTCTGAAGTCTGGTCCTGAAGGGAGATAATTGAACAGCCAGCTCTGCCAGAGAGCCGTGTTCCCCGTGTGCTCCCCGCCCTGTGGCCGGCTCGGGGCCGAGGCACAGTGCTCCTGCTTTGATGGTCCTGGGCTTTGAAGGGAATTAAGGTGTTGAAAATACTGGGTAGAAAAAGGGGAGGGAATCACCCTTCACAGGCTTCCTTCTTTCCTTTTTTCAGAGTCTGTATGGGAAGAATTGTTTCTGCTTGGTTTACTTATTTTTAGGATAAACTTTTTATTGATACATAACAAAGAAAAGTAAAATTACAAAACTTGAAAAAATTTTGTCAAGTAAACACATCCTGTATAAGAAGTAGACATTGCCAAAGACCCAGATTTCCTCTTTGTGACCTCTTAAAATTGCCACCCCTGCCCAAGTGTGCCCAGTCCTGACTTCTATGGGACTTACAGAGGCACATGATTAATCTAATTCATTTTAAAAATTTACATAAGCTGGGCGTGGTGGTCCACATCTATAGTCCCAGCACTTGAGAGGCTAAGGTAGGGAGAATCACTTGAGCCCAGGAGTTGGAGACCAGGCTGGGCAACATAGCAAGGCCTTGGTTCAAAAATTAATTGACTAATTAATTAAAAACTCATTTTCTGTTATTTTTAACATCGTGAAAACAAAATTAATTTCTAAAATAGAATTGTATAATAGGCACTCACTTATCTTCTTTTCATTGTATTTGGAAGATTTCTTCCATATTTTTGCATATAGCTATGTTTGTTTTCAGTGCTGCATAGTATTCAGTTTTGTGAAATATCCTCTAGTACCTTGGTCTTTTTCGTTTATGATGTCATTTGAGTTGTTTCCTATTCCTTTTGGGTCTAACAGGAACAGTGCTGCTATGAATGCTCTTGTACATTTGTCCTAGTGTATGGATGTGTGTGTGTTTCGGTCAAGGGCCTTTTTCCTTTCATTGTTTTTTTTTTTTCCTTTTAAAAAACATTTGAGGTGGCTTAGGTAATTAAACACATATTAGACTAAATAATTAGTACAAGTAAAGCAGGAGATTGAAAACCACTAGTTCCAGAAAGGAGATGACAAAAATGTATCACATGCAGTGAGTGCCTTGTGGGCCTAGGGGAGGGGAGAGTAGTCGTGGGAGGTTCAGTGTGGGCCTGGACCTGCTGGTAGCCAGCAGAGGCTTGGCAAACTGAGGACAGTGGGAAGACGTGGGTGGTTAGGGGGTCGGGATGACTTCTTGGTGGCAGGACTGAAGCCACGTACATGGCCAGCTGTGTCCAGTTGGTCTGTCCACCTCTAGGGAGCCTGGCCCACCTTTGGGTTGTCATGTGGAGGCTTGTCCTCTTAGCAGGGACGGGAGCCCCTGGGCAAGGCAATGTGCGTGGGGCTCATCTGCTCCTCCAAGAGCGAGTTTTGCTCCTCTTTTTTGTCACAAGGAGATTATTGGCCTTGTTGAGGAGAGTTGAGGGAGGACAGGGTGTCCTCGGATGGGGCTGGCTGCTTCCTGACCGTCTTAGCACTCAGGCGAGGGCCCAGGGAAGGTTCTGCCTTGGTGTGTTGACAGTGGACGAGGGTGGTGGGCCACGGGCAGTGAATCCTGGGCTCTCCTCCGCTGACAGGCTGCAGCCCAGAGGCCGGGCTTCTCCAGGGTTCTCTAATGGTGTCGCAGCCAGGCGTGCTAGGGCCTGCAAGGCTGTGTCCTAGACCTTGAGTGGACATTGCTCTTTCCAAGTCAACTTCCCATGGGCAAGGAGCTCATGGCCCTCCCCGCATCTAGCCCTGGCTCCTAGAGGTGCAGGTGGCATTTAGACACCCCTCCTTATTTGTCATGAAGATGACGGAGGAGACAGGCGCAGTTGGTGAGATGGGGTTGGTGGAGTAAGGCCCTTCCCCTGTCTAGAGAAGGTTGAGAGTTCCCTGGGAGCACTGGCAAGACATGGCTGCTGTTTACACCTGAGGCTCCCTCACCCTCGTTCCCATGTCTACTATAGATTCTAGAATCAGCACACAGATTCACCCCTATCGAGCCGTGGGCAGTTTACCTACAGGCCACCTGGGACTTGACTCCGCCTTGTATCTGGGATGGGGACGCTGCACTCTGCCCCGCTGGGACACAGCACTGTCCCCACCCACTGCCAGCTCTGAAAGCTTGTCCTCCTGTCCCCTCTGGTGGCCCACCCTGCTCTTCATGCTGCTTCCCTTGGGCCAGTTTTCCACTCTCCAAGGCAGCAGCCTGGGCACTTCAAGGTCTCCCAAAGAGGAGACGGTCACAAATGGAAGGTCTGACAATTGTGACCATCCATCCTGGGCCCCACACTTGCCTGAGCAAGGAAGAGGGTGGGAATGGCCAGAAATGAGTCTCAAGAATTCAGGATTACTGAGCGGGAGCCTTTGGTGAGCAGTGGTGTAGACTTGTCTCTTGAAACTACCCTTCCTTCTCTGGCTCTGCCTGCCAGCCCCACTCCGTGAGCCTCCTGAGCCCATCCTGACTGCCACAATGGGGAGTCCAAGGAAGAGGAATTAGCATCAGTTAATGCATTACTTGTTAGCAACTCTGGTAAAAATAACACAACCTCACATTTAAGCTGACTGGATGGCCCAGATGGAATTTGGAGATTATCCATGAACTGAATTGGCTGGTGTTAAGTCACAATTAGCATGGGCTCACTCTCTTTTCAATTAGTCTGAACAATGCAGAACTGGCTAGCCTGAAAACATGGTCAAGGTTCTGCTTCTGAGGTCTGGCACAGACGGGGAGATCTGAGGATAGCCACTGGGGGCACACACACTCTCATGGGTCCAGGACACTCTCAATTCAGAACCTTTAGAGTCTGTTTCTGAATTTGAGGGGAAAGAAGTGTTCCATCTTCCAAAACCCCAGATCCATGTAAGCTGACTTCGAAGGAAGAAGTGACAAGCTCCCGTGTCCTGCGTCTCGTTCCCAGGCCAGCCTTGCCGTGGCCTGAAGAGTGATGGGCGTAGCCCACAGGGCTTTTCTTCCAGAAACCTCAGCGTAGTCACCAGAGGACTGAGCATGGCATTTTTTCCTCTTGCTCCTCAGTGTCCTCGGAGGCAGTACAAAAATTGCCAACATTTCAAAGAGAACAAGTATTTATAATTATTTGGAAAACAGGGGGGAGGGGTTCCCTTTTTTAGGGGGAAATCTCTTAAATGATTGTGAGGTTATTTCTGGGAAGGTGTAAATCTAGTCTTTATTTAGTCATTTTCAAAATATCCAGGAGTTTTTTAACTAAGCACATTTTTATTTATTGCAAAGCCTTTTTCCATTCTCTGAAAAAAAGTTGAGTTTGGCCCAATTGGTGATAACATTCACAATTCCACTTAGAGGATTCTGGAGCTTTAGAACAGGAAGAAAAAACAAATGCCACAAGTCTTTTTTAAAAAAGTGCTCACAGTACAAAAAAAATAGGATCTAGATCGTGCAGATTGGGGTTATGTTTGGGTTTTTATTGTTTTCTAATTCGCAGCAAAATTGAGCTTAGAAGCTTTTTCCTTTAATCCAAGATTTTAGAGTTTATCCAAATTCCACAAAATAGATTAACAAGACAGCTCTTGAATATTACCCCATAACAAAACATGCATGTTGAAGTAAGACAGCTCACTGTGTTCTTATAGTATCAGGGAAATTATTCAAACTCTAAAATTGCTTCCAATCTCACACTGCATCTGAATGACAGTAGAAGACATGGCAGTTAGCAGGTGACAGCCAGGAAGAGTGCTGCTTGGTGAACCCTCTGCAGTTCATGCCTCATAAGGGGGTCGGCAAAATCTTGGGTTATTTACCTCATATCAGTTCATAGCCCCCTACATTACTGCCTCTGTAATAGGTACATATGTTATTTGGGCTTTTAACTTGTTTTTTTTATAACTTCACTTCACCCTCTGCCTGGCGTCAAAATGCATAGCTAAAATGTGTTAATTCCATGGATCACCATAGGAATAAGCAAATTAATTCAAGTGTCCAAATTACACAGTATTTTCATAGATTCTATATAAAAACTGAGACACTTTTAGCATTCCATTCTGTTCATGGTTGTGTTTGTGTTATTTTAAAACTGCCACATATCAAAGTTGGTTTTCTTTATACAGCATTTTTTGTCCTCAAGAAAACACTGAAGAGGCCCTGTTGCTGCTGCTGATTAGTGAATCAATGGTAAGTGGAATGTGGCTTCATTGTTCTTTCCCCTGTCCCCACCCTCAGGATGGTGTCTAGGATGGTGACTAGAGAGAGTTGGGAAAGGGAAAGGAAGCAGTAGAGGTTTAAAGAGAGGATGTTTCTTAGTTACTGGAGGAGCTAATAGTGTCTCTTGGTCACCTGGAACTTGGGGCTTCTCCTCCCATAGCAATTAGCAGGTATCTTAATTCATCCATCCATCCATCCACTAGTCCTGTTGTATGTATGTAAATAATGCTAACATGACCACCACCTAAAATGTCCACCAAGGGGAGAAAAGCCTTCTCAGGAGCCTCCAGGAGCCTTCTCAGTTTGCTTTGGCTTGAGGAAGAATGTCAGGATCGGAGCCACTGAGACTGCTCTGACCTTTCGCCATGTTCCCACCCGTTCCCAGGCACTACAGAATTCCACTACTCAGCTCTACTGCTCTGAAGGATTGTCACCAGACCATCGGATTCCTTATGCTTACTTAGTGTTTGGCCAGGATCTTGAATTATAGGCCTAAGACTGCATCACTCATCGTTGAGTGGACTTCTGTCCTGTATAGTGCTAGACACTACAGCCTGGTTTGAAACCCTGGGGATGCTGTGTCATAGTAGTTACTGTCACTGCAGGTAAACCAGGTGTTCCGAGCACCTGAGCAGAATAGCAGCCTTCTAGAACTCAAAAGGACCTAGAGGACCTCATGTCCATTCATCTGCTTTGGCAGATGCGGAACCTGAGGGCCAGAGCAAGCTGAATGCACATGCGTGCAAGGACTGCTGCTCCTGCTAGATTGTGCTGCCCCTCTCCGTGACTTCTAACCACCAGGTGGGCAGAGGGAAGCTTAAGGAAGGGAGAAAGGCTGTTCCCCTTCTCCTGTTATGCTCGAATTCGGGACCCCCAAAAGACCACCAGAGACCAAGATCGATGTAAGCAGCAAAGAGGTTTTTATTGCGAGCTAGCTCGGTCCTCCACGCTCACACAGCAACTGGTGACGCTGAGAGGTCCCGAGCCCAGGGTTTGCAGCAGTTTTATACATTCTTTGGAGAAGGCAGGGACCCCCACATACATCATAGCATCTCTTAGCAAATCATCACACACTGCGGGAAAATCAAATAACAACTCTAAAACATGATTAGCACATTCACTGGCAGGAACAGGTTGGGTAGGGGTGATTGGTTACTACAAGAGGGGGATTCATTTGAACTGATTGGTTTAAGCCAAGAGGGGTGTTCGTGCTGAGCTACATGGTTTCCCAACATGTTATCAACCACCATAAACTACTGGGAGGGTCATCTGGCATCCCAGGTATTTCCCTGTCTCATGCTGATTGGTGGCTGCTAGGGGGTTGCTATGGGTCCCCACCTAGCCTGACTGAGTCAGGGACACCTGGTGCAGTAGATCTCTCCTGTTATTTGTGGATAAACAACTGAGCAGGGTGGGAATGTGCCTAGGAGTGCTCTGTGGGTCTTTCCAAGGACAAAGGTGATGTCCCTTCCTTGGACAGGCTTTGCTCTGAGGAAGAGGCTGGTTTTTCACTCCATGCCCCTCAGGTGTGCTATTTAACTGGAGGCGTGAAATACTCCCAGATGGAAGAGTCACGGACATGGAGCACACACGCACACGTGCCAGAGCGGCAGGGTCAGCAAAGCCAGAACAGTCAGGGAGGGGAGCATCCTGGCCACAGTTTAAAACGCTGGGTTTTCTTGTTCTGCAAAAAGGCCCTGAGGTGTTTACAAGAGCCAGGCTCCTTGAGTCACCTCTGCTTTTGACTTAGACACTCTTGACGTCTTTGGCTTTCTTTCCCTCCAGGAAGCGGGTTGCCCTTGGCTCATCTTTCCTTGACTGTCAGCTGCTAATGGAGGACAGTGTCACTTATATTCTGTGCTCTGCCTTGGCACAGTCAGGGAAGGCATATAGATTCCCAGGTTTGCACTTGATGGCATTCAGTGGCTGTTGTGCAAGTGAGAGGCCTCACCTGCTTTGCACCAGTGTGACAAAGGGTCAGCTCCTGTTGGCATCCTACACTCTTCATCCCAAGTGGGGCTCTTCACAGCTGGGCAGTTAGTTTCCTTTGGCAAACTTGGTTGGTTAGGGCACGAACGCCCTGAACACATGGAGAGCATGCATTTAGAGCGCTTGGACGGTTCTCATTGGAAATGTTGCGGTTCATCGTCAGGTCGTGTGTCCTGGTCTGGGATTCGGAGAACATGGCCACCTCTCCACAAGGCTTGCTCTGGCTGAGTGTGGATGCCGGGGATTGATGTCTGTAAATTTCCTGCTCCTCAATGGAGTGAGAGAAAGTCGAAGTCCCTGTGGACAGTGAAATTTGACTATGTGGTATTTAATTTCTGGAAAAATCTCTTCTGGGGATGGTGAAATCAAGTCATCAGTAAATATGAAGGACCAAGTTTCCAAACAAGATGGTCCTTTAAATCACTCCTAGATTTAAGTTGCCCTTGGGATCTTTTCTTCATGTCCTTTGACTCCTTAATTTTTCAGTTGTTAGGCTTAATTTTTCAATTATTAGGCAGAAAAACTGTGTGCTCAATTTCAGAACCCAAATGAGAATGCCAGGTTTTTTGGATGTCTGAGAAAATAATTTTCTTCGTTGGTTCTGATTTTAACTTAGAAACATAAATTTGTCCATAGTCTCTCCACCTACAAGAAATCATTTGGAATTGTACTGCTTTCTCACTGCATAGCAAATTAGTTTTTTTTCCCAGAGAAAAAGATGATCAGAACTCTATTTGTATGACTACTGCTGTGGCAATATTCTGGGCTACTTACTATTTGTGGATCTGATTAAGGTCCTGTATTGTACCTTTTTAGTCAAAAGGTATTGATACTGTCTCCAAAAATGGAAAAAAGAAGAAAGGGTACATGTGGTATAACTTGAAAATCTCTCCTAAGTAGTGTATGTTGTGCTTTGTTTTATTCCAGGCTTTGGTCTGGTATGGAACATTCATAGCAAATAAATAAAATGAGACAGCAGGTCCCACTTCCTTCAGGGCATCTTTTATTGGGCTCAAAAGGCACTCTGTATAGAAAACCATAGAATGAAATCTTCAAAAGCAGGCTCAATTCCATGAGAGAGGACTCACTTTGCAGGAAGTGGCCTGTCTTACATAGCCTCATTTGTCTTTGACATTTAAGAGCCAGGAGTTTTAAAGTGAGTAAGTTGGATGGGCGGCTAAAAGCAAATGTCTTAAACTCACAAGAAATAAAATGTTTTACCTCATTAGCGAAAGGGAAGGCGTGTGCCTGGCCTTTCCGAATGTCAGCAGGAAGATGAGCAGCAGCTGGGGGACAAGTGGCCCTGGAACCTCATGTCCGCTTTACTGGGGAAGACTGAGGGCTCTTTCTCTGCTTGTAGGCCTAGACAGCTCTGGAGACTTTTGCTCATTAGCAGGGGGGGAAGGCAGGTGAAATTCAGCCTTACTGTCTCAGAGCTCCCTTTTAGGGGAAAAGGAAAATGAACTGGCTGTCGAGCCTCCCGTGCGTGTGGTTTATCTGGAGGGATCTGTGGAGAAATTAAATTTCAAAGCAATGGAAACAAGTTGCTATAAAGAGCATTTGATTTCTGGATAGATGTGATGAGTGGGCTGGGATGTGCCCCGTGTGCTTCCGCACCAGGCAGTGGAGACTTGGAATTGGCAAGGTGTTCTCTTGAGTCCCCTGTGGTAATGCCATTTGAAGTAAAACTCGGCTTGCTTCTTGCCTTCTCTTCCACATCTGTTTTGTGCTTCTCTTTACAAGGTGAATTAGTCTTCAAGGTTTGTTCCAGTGAAGATGTCATTTAGGGATTTGAATGCTGTTCAGTGATAGAAGAAAAGCATGATATATCTCCATGGGACCAGTGGAACTCGATGACACCATTTGGTGATGGGAAATGCAGGGCTGGGAACGTTCTCTACTCTTTAGAGCAGAAGCAGGATCACAAGTGAGACACGACAGGGTCCCTTGGTGGCTGCTGCTGCTGGCCAGGACCAGCTGTGTCTGCCATGAGGCCAGCTGTGAACCCAAGCCCAGGGAAGCTCTGTCTGCTTTGCCTGTCTCCAGACATTACTGATGGCTCACGCCTCGGGCCTTCAGCATTGGGTCATACTCTATGCCATGTGCTAGGGTGCTTTGGGGACTTGGAAAGTATGACTAGAGGTGACAGGCCCCTTATTGCTGCCTTTGTCCTAGGCTCTCAGCAAACTGTGAGAGGCCAGAGGGCCTGGGTGGCTTCTCTACCATAATGGTGGCTGTGAGCATGGGCTGGCTCACCATCTGCCTCTCTCTTCCATGTTTTCAGGCCAACCGGGATGCTGTGCTGAGCAGGACACCTGAGCACAGGAGTGACCGCCTCATCAGCTTGCAGAGCGCGTCTGTGGTCTATGACTTGCTGACCATTGCCCTTGGAAGAAGAGGCCAGTATGAGATGCTGTCAGAGGTACAGCTGCTGAGTGGTTGACTCCCAGGTGGGGGTGGGGTGGCTGGGTGACCTCAGGGAGGAGCTGAGACCTGGTCCTGAGCCCCCGACCACTGGCTGCCATGTGACCTGGGGCCAGTCATGAACTTTGGTTTCCTCCCCTGAAAAGGGGTGATTGGGCTGAATGATTGTATTGTGGCATTGACCCATGGCCTCTTACCACTAGTGGACCTCACCCAGCAGGCTCTGATTGTGGGAACAGAAGGCCAGTGTTGCCCAAGCACTTTTTCATCCCATGTACTCTCTTTCATAACCAAAACAGGTTATTAATTCCCATCTGGGGTATTAATTTCCTTACAAAATGGTTTAATTTAAACTCTCAGTGCATAACTCCTGGTGACATGGCAGCTTCCGGCACATGTGTCATCAGGTTAGCTGATACAAACTTTCATGCCAGGTAAGCGCTGTCTTCCTTCACAGTGTATTGCTGGACAGAAGGGACCCAGTGGGTTCCAGGTCTTGTGACAGTGCTGTCTTCCTCTCAGGCCCTCAACCTGGAGGAACTGCTTGGGTGGAAGCTTGTCTGGCAGGCTCAGAAGGAGCCAGTTGATCTGGAATATGGTTACAATGCATTGAGTTCCTGTCCAGAATACCAGATTCCCCCTTGGTGAGGCTGAATAAGTAAGGAGACCACTTTATCTTTCTTTTACCGAAATATAAAGAAAGAAAGGGGAAAGAAGCAACCTTATTTTGTTAAAATAAACTTTTCTGTGTTATTTATCTTTCTCTTTCTAAATTTATACCCATTGCAACAGCCTCTGGGCATGAGGACAGGGAATGAAATACAGTAACGGATTGGCTGAAATCAGATAAGCGCTCACTCACCCTCTAGCCTGCCGTGATGGCCACATTAGGCAGGAACCTTGGGGAACAGATGAGCCTGCGTGGCTGGAAGCTTTTTTTAGTCTTTGATTTGGTGACTACACAGGGAAGTGGTTACTTCAAACACACAAACCCCTCATGATGTAGATAATGTAGTGTCCAGATGCCCCAGCACACATGGCCCACCCTGCCATGACTTGGTCCAGGCTCAGGGTTGGTCCAGACTATTGTCCCCAAGGAGTCCTAGCCCCCATGGAGTGCCTAGGGTTCCCAGGCCCCTGCTCCCAACCAGCTTAGTTCCTGCTCAGCATGGCCAGGCGTGCCCATCCGTGGCTTGGTACACCCACTCACAGTTGAGTTCTTTCAAGGTGAACTTCTCTCCACCAGACAAACCACTTGACACCTCTCTGGGTCCACAGTGGAGTGTGTTTGCGAGTCAGCTTCTGTCCCCTGGTGTGGCAACAGAGCCTTTCCCCAGTTTGAAATCTACCCACATCTGAAACAGTTGGGAGGAGCCCAGGGTGGCTGGCTCCACTCCGTGGATAGGCTCTGGCCCCTGCCTGCGGTTGGCTCTTCGCTCCATGAACAGCCTTGGGGGCGGCTCCACTGGAGATCGTTCCCCTGCAGGCGGGTAGCTCCTAGGCACCTGCTGCCATCCCCACCTATGGAATTCCAAGACCGAGTTTTCACTCAGATGACTTTGATTTTGGTGCCACCTTTGCAGCTTCCATCTTGTAGTGATTCCTGACACCCGAGTCACAGGGTGGTCGGGTTGTGGGAGCCTCTGTGGTTCACAAAGTGACCACTGATCACATTTAAAATGGTGGAGATAGCACCAAAGGCTGGAATGGAAGGGTGGAAGAGAGGGAACTGTATCAGTGTGTGTCCCCTGGGGCCTTTTGGATTTTGTGTCATATCTGTGTTTCTCTATTAAAAATGTAAGTTAATTGATAAAATATATAAAATAGAGGACATTTATTTTTTCAACATGAACATATGCTGTGACCAAGGTTGGGGATATAGCCTTGAGTAAGGAGTGGCCCCTGCCCATGGCAGCTCCCAATCTAGACTGAAGTGGCAGTGCTACCTTCCAGGTGGCCACCCCTGGGGCTGAGAAAGACCCCAACACCCAGCCTCTGCCTTTCCTGCCCTTTCTACTCTGGGAGGAGGAGCCCCCCTTACCCCCCCCCCCCAAGCCCCCGCCAAGCACGTGGCCGCCGCACTCTCTGGTCTTCTAACTGAGATGGTGGGTGTCTTAGGAGAAAGAGAGCTCACAGCACCTTGAGGCAGCCTGTCCTCCCGCAGATGGCTTGGCCACTGCAGAGGGGCCAGGCCCACTGCTGCTAAGCAAGGACCCTCCCTGCCTCCGTTCCAGGCCACATCTCGCAGTAGCCTGCTTTCCGCTTCTCCTCATTTACAAGGGTTTTCTTGAGTCCATTTGGTGCTTTTCTTCCTCTCCTATTTGCTCTTCTATTTTCTGTGAACTTTAAGTTGAAAGGATAACTGGCTTTTAAAAAATTGGGGTAAAATTCACCTAGCAAATTGAGCCGTTTTAAAGAGTAGAGTTCAATGGCATTCAGTGTGTTCACACTGCCGGGCAACAGTGACAGTCACCTCTGCCTCGCCAGCTCAGAAGTCCTGACGAGGCTGCTCATGAAGAGGCTACTCACTAAGCTTGCAGGTTTGAGGTTCAGAGTCCAGAAGCTTACTGTAGGCTCCATGAAGAGGGCGGCCACTTTGCTTCATCTCCTGATATAGGTGTCCGGGGGCAGCATGTAACCACATCTCGGACCGGGAGCAGAGAGGATGGGTAACAGCCCTCTAGTGAGAACTCAAGGTGCTCCACTCCCACAACCTAAGGACACTGTTGCTAGGGGCAAAATTGCGGGAGAAATAAAGAATGTCCACGCGCTTCTGCCCCTTTCAATGCTTTATTCCCTCAAATTACTCAATACAATTTCACTCTGTAGGTTCTTAATCAAGAAAACTACAATCCTTAATGCTAGGCACTGCAGTAGACATAATCAATTCACAGCAAATAATTCTAGATTAATTCTAAGCACTGCAAAACACACTTAATCATGACAGGCTAGTGACAGACATTCCCTCTGCGTGCTAAGTTCAAAAGTCTTAAGCCTTAGGCTTTATGTCCAGCAGATACACACTCACTCAGACCGCAGTGACCAGGTCCAGAACCAAGGCAGGCTTTTCTTGGTGTGGAGTGGACGCCCGGTTAAGGAGAGGGTCATAGGGAGAAGTTGTGGCTCTCACCAAGGCCCAGATGAGGCCGTAGAGTTTGAGAGCAATGAGGATTACGCAGAGGATCAAGAAATGATGACAAGTGATGGGATGTCAGATCCTCATCAGGCTTGTTTTGGCTGACTGAATCCCTGTTCATCAGCTCTGTTATTTATACTAAATTTTGGGGCTTTTGACCCCCCTTTCAATCCTTATCAGCTACCACCAGATTTCTCCATGACATCATTTACCCTGGGGTCAGATGATCTGGTCTGGTGATCTCTACCCTGATCTTCTCGCCTTTCACTTCTTATCAGGCGTGGTCACCCTGCCAGGGGCTTCACTCTGTTTATCAGGGTGATGGGAAGTGACTTGTCTGAGGCTGTATTGGAGGGATCTGTTGGATGTGCCTTGTGAGGCTGCAGGTTTCAAACTAGAGTTTTTAAAATGGAGTTGCTTAGGCTCAGGCCTAAGGCCATCCTCACAGACTCCCACTGGACCCTGCCTCCCAAGAGTTCTACCACCTCCCAGAAGCACCATCCTGGGGACCAACTCGTCAATCACAGTGGGCCCTTGGGGACACCACTAAAACCACACCGAGCCATGGGGCTCTAATCCAATGTTCTAATCCAACATTTTCATCTGCCTTGCAAAAGGAATTCCCCTCTGCTCCCCTCACCCCCCAGCCCCACTGCTAATCTCTTTCTGTCTCTATGAATTTACCATTTTGGGTGTTTGGTGTAAATAGAATTAGCTAATCTGAGACCTCTGGTGACTAGCTTCTTTCACTTAGCACAATGCTTTCAAGGTTAGCCACATAGTAGCATGTGTCAAGATTTGATTCTTTTTATGGCTAAATAACATTCCATTGTGTGGCTACACCACAGTTTGTGTATTTGTTCATCAGTGTTGGACACTTGGGTTTTCTTCAACTTTTAGTTAGTGTGACTAGTATTGATGTGAGGGTGACTGGTTTTAAACTTCCTGTTATCTTAGTGATTATCACTATTGTCGCATATTCCATTTCCTTGTCTTTAGCGCCTGCACCATTGCCAGGGTGACAGTTCTCAAACAGAACAGGACCAGCACCCTTCTGTTCAGAAGCACACAGCTCTTCCCTTCTTTTTTTTTTTTTTTCTTTTGTTTAATTTCTTTTCCTTCCATAATGAAATTTACTTCATTGTTTATCTTTCTGCCATATGTAATAGCCCTGCATGTTTGAAATGAAGCAATAGATACCAATACAACAAAGGAAATAAAAGTTCCTCAGGACCCAGTAGTTGGCTGTCCATTGACATTTTAGAGGCCTTTTTTTTTTTTTTTTTGGTACTAGGGATTGAATTCAGGGGCACTCGACCACTGAGCTACATCCCCAGCCCTATTTTGTATTTTATTTAGAGACAGGGTCTCACTGAATTGAGTTGCTTAGTACTTCACTTTTGCTGAGGCTGGCTTTGAACTCACCATCCTCCTGCCTCAGCCTCCCAAGCTGCTGGGATTATAGGTGTGTGCCACTGTGCCCGGCTGAGACCATCTTTTTATACATTTTTATGCATAAATGCATGTACATTGTGTATGATTTAAGGAATGGGATGATGTTATGTGCATTTTTTGTGGATATTTCCTATTCTTTTATCCCCCACCCATTGACATGCCACCAACCTAGTTGTCCTGGGGTACAATTGCTAGGGTTAGAGGGCTTTGATGTGAGTTTTGGATCTGCCACTAAATGATGGTGTGGTCCTAGGTGTCATCAGCCTCCTCTGTTTCTATTTCTTCTCCTATAAAATAGAACAATACTCATGTGTATCTCTGACAGTGGTGAAGGGTGTGCTTATTAATCCATATCAAGTCTCAGAACTTAGCCCAGCACAGAGAACTCACTGAATAGCAGCTGAGTG